TATGAAAACTACATCAGGAACACAACCCATCTAAGTAGTTAGAAATGTTATGGACAAATATAGTTTATCTCAGTTATTTCTTAGAATAATGACTACGATTTAGATATTTCTTACTAATGACAGTTAAGGATGTGCTGCCAGGAAGATTTTGATTTTTCTAAAATATTCAGTGCTTGCTTGCTTTCTTCCTCGACAGATTCTACCTCAGTACAAATTCCTCTAACTTTAGAAAGGCATTAAAAATCAAGCATGAATACTGTTGCCAAAGCCTTATTAAGAAAGCCTGACAATCTCCTCACTTAGGGGAAAATTAAAAGACCGATAGACCAGTTTGAAAAAGAAAAACTGGTATATAGCTAAAGTAGGAAGGTGTTGAAATAGGAAAATATCTGGAAATAATGCAGTAAAAGCATTAAATTAAACAATGATGAAAAGGTGAGCAAGGCTCTGCTTGTCTATTTTTATGAATTCAATTCTATACCAAGATTTAAATATTCCAGAAAACAAATCCTATTGTTAAGAGTAAGTATGACTACTACCATTCATTTGCTGAAATGATTCCCAAGAAGTCTTAAATACAAAGTTGTGCATGACACTGTGACACACACTAAATTCAGAGAACCTGTGTCAGCATCTTATTCCATTAAACACTAGTTTTGCCTCAGAGAGTGCCAAGGTTAATCTTCCCTCTGTTGCAAGTGGGAACATATCTGACACTAAGAGACAGGCTGCTCCACCCTACTCAACATTAGCACCTGAAGGTAGCTTGAAAGCAAACGTGGTCCCTTTCTTTAAGCCTTTCAGTTCTTTTTAGTAGCAACCATTAAGGAAATCACAGAATCACAGACTATCTTGAGCTGGATCACTGATCCTTGTGAGTCCCTTCCAACTCCTGGCCCCGCCCACAACACCCCAATAATCCCACCTTGTCCGTGAGAGCTTTGTCCAAACGCTCCCTGAGCTCTGTCAGCCTTAGGGACATGACCACTACCCTGAGGAGCCAGTTCAGTGCCCAACCACCCTCTGGGAAAAGAACCTTTTCCTGATATCCAACCTAATCCCCCCTAACACAGCTCCAGCCAACCTAATCCCCCCTAACACAGCTCCAGCCATTCCCTCAGGTCCTGTCACTGGTCACAGAGAGCAAAGATCAGTGCTGCCCCTTGTAAGGAAGCTGCAGACTGCTATGGGGTCTTCCCTAGGTCTCCTCTTCTCCAACTGAACAAGCCAAGTGACCTGAGCCGTTTCTTTTATGGCTTCCCCAAAAGACCCTTCACCATCTTTGTGTCCCTCCTTTGGATGCCCTTTAAGAACTTTGGATTCTTCTGATATTGTGGTGCCCCAACTGTGCCCAGGACTTGAGGTGACACCGCCCCGGTGCAGAGCAGAGCGGGACAATCCCACCCCTTGCCTGGCCGTTGATGCTGTGCCTGATGCCCCCTAGGACATGGCTGGCCTTCCAATCTGCCGGGGCATATGGTAGTGCCTTAGCTTTTATTTAAGAAAACCCTAAACCTTTACTCTCCCAAGTAAAGACAATTTCTGACCTATCAGCAAGTCATCTACATTTTTAAATTTGCTTTTATAGGTTAGTTTAAGCTCTCCAGAAACACTCAAGCGAAATCAAAGGCAACAACAAAAAAATCCACTCCGACACCACTACATTTGAAGTTGGTTTTTTTTCTCTAAATCTGGAATACTAGGTCCTGTTCCCTACCTTCTTAAGTGTTGAAATATCCTTCCTGGAAGTTATACCTGAGAAAATAATGAAATCTACTACAAGTCTCACTGAAAAAAAAAGTCATATATATTTTAAAAATTAAAATTTTAAAAATTCATATATAAAAAGCAACTCTTTATTTTAAATCTGTTGGTTATATACTCAAGGGTTATAAGCTGTTCCTATCTTTTCCCTAAGCATACTGTTCTGGAAAAACCTTTTTGTTCATGCTGCTCCAAAACTGCTTCCAGAGCCAGCACTATATACAAATATTGTTAATCTGTTACTGCATACCACACCATAGATAATAACTCTTCTTTCCCTACTAAAAATGAGTCAGAATGAATACTGAAATATTCAGTATCACCCACCATTTGTAATCTATGCAGAATATGTAACGTTTTTCTCAAAGAACTGCTGAAAGACAGAATGCCATGCCCAAGTGAGAAGTTATTATCAAAAGTACTTTGATTAGGTTCTTGAAATTGAACAAGTGAGTGATGACAGTGCAAAAATAACAAAATGCTAGTGCACATAGATATCCCACTAAAATGCTAAAACTAAACCCCGTCAGACAACATAAAAAGTCACACAAATGTATGAACGGTCCTGTGCTCTCTGTTGTATTTATGAGCAGTTGCGTTATTCACGAACCCAATGGCTTCGCACGGCATCAGCCCACCTTACACCTCAGCTCCCCTGAAGCTCACGGACTCGTTAAACAGCACCCCTCAGAAACTGCCCTCGCGGCGGCAGAGCCGCTCCCACCGCCCCTCACGGCAGCGCCGGGCCCAGCGCTCCCTCCGCACCGGCGGCCGCCCGACAGGACACAGCGCGGGGACAGGGGAGCAGGCCCGGTGCGAGGACATGCGAGTGGGCCCGCAGCGGGGCCCGCGCTCACCTTGTCCGAGTCCAGGTCGGGATCGGCCTGGCAGAGGCGGAAGAGGAAGGACTTGGGGTCCCTGCAGAGCGTCTGCCGAGTGGTCAGGAAGCAGGTGCCCCCCACGTTTTCAAGCCGCACGCCACTTGCCGGGCCGCGCGCCGGGCGGCGGCGCGGAGCTGCAGCGGCGGCCAGGGCCCGCCCGCGCCGAGCCGCCGCCCACGGCAAACCGCGAACTCGAGTGGTTCTCCGCCGCCGATCCTCGGCCGCCGCCGGGAAGGGGCCGCCTCCGACCCGAAAGCCCAGCCCGGGCGCCACCAGCCCCCGGAAGCGCCCAGCTGGAGGCCGCTCCCCTGCCCTCTCTCCGGGGCGAGGCCCGCCGGCCCCGAGCCCCGAGTCCACCCCCGTCCCCACCCCGACCCACCGGAAGGAAGAGGCGGAGGCTGCGCAGGACCCTACATGCCTTTATTACAGACTACCAAGCATAAGTGAAATCCGTCATCCAGTCACTAACTACACATCTACAGCACAGAGATCTGTCGAGAGGAGAATAAACAGTCATTAAATTATGAGATATGATTAAATCATCGACCGATAGAAAATTTATATAATAAAGCCAGAAAAAAGGTGTAAAATATAGTTTACAATAATTATTCACATTCAAGGCTGTACATCAATACATACAACACCATGGCCCCGAACATGAATTCAATCCAAATAATTCATATATTAGAATTTAAATAACACAGACTGAACTAGAGGCCAACAAGAGCCAGCAAATAACCTTATAAGAATAAAAATACAAAAGTGTGTATCTTATATCATTGCATTATTTGCTTCTGTTTTCACAAGTTCTTGGAAGAGGGGAGATTGTTTTGTTGTTTGTTGAGAGGGGCTGGGGTTTTTTTTGTGGTTTGTTGTGGTTTTTTTTTTAATCCATACATCACAGTTACAGCTACAAACCAGGTAGAGCATATTACACATGTAACTGACTGCCACCAACCTGAAAACAGCTAGCATACATCTATCAAAACTGAGTATGGTTCCTAGTTCCAATTTTTTCTCTTTTGTCAGATACAGTAACTTTAAATTCTGTCACAATTTTGAACTTTTGCCACATCCAATCAGAGTTAGTACATGGTCATAGGAAGCTTTGCCAAATAGCAACCATCTACATTCAGTGCCCTGCTGACAGACAGACCTCATTCTCAGGAGCAGTGACAGGACTCAAGGAAATGTCATGAAGCTGAGTCAGGGGAGGTTTAGGCTGGGTATCAGGAAAAGGTTCTTCCCCCAGAGGGTGGTTGGGCACTGACCAGGCTCCCCAGGACAGCGGTCACGGCCCCAAGGCCGTCAGAGCTCAGGGAGTGTTTGGACAATGCTCTCAGGGACAGGGGTGGGACTGCTGGGGTGTCCTGGGCAGGGCCAGGGGTTGGATCAATGATTCTTCTGAATCCCTTCCAACTTAGGATATTATGTTCTAAAACCAGGTTAGTGGGTGCTTAAGAACCTCTCCAACTGTTTATTGTATAAAAGTCATATTTCTTCTACAAAAGACAAAACATTCTTAAATGATCAGTCTTAAAAGAAAACATGCCGTTTTGGGTCACAGAACTACTTGTTTGTAAGCTCACTTGATAAACTGATGGACAATCTGCATCATGAAGCTTTGCAAGAGCATTTCCATTTGATTAATAAAATATTTGCATAAATTATACCAGGCATCCAGCAAAATTTCAGATATAAATACCACACCTATTTGTGTAATTTACTAGTAGGAAGTGATCAGAATCCACAGGCCACATCTTTAGGCAACTATTACTAGACAAGTTCTCTAGTCAGTAAGATGTTGAAATCAAACGTTTTGTCCACAGGCCAAATGAAGTAATTTTCTTGACTTCACTAAATCATTCAAAAGAAAATGTACATGTGGGAAATTCTCATGATTCTTCAAAGTTCCCAGCACAAAATGTAATGATATCAAGCACATTAAATTAAGAATCTTGAACTATGAAAACTGATTAGAATCATCACATCTTTGTTTCAATCAACAGTTATTTCCAGGACTATATATAGCAGATACTTCACAACTAAAAGATGTGAGAAAGAGAGAAGTGGAGCACAGTACAGATACTTTGATGTTTTCAGCATCTAAGTGCTTAGCAAATGGAATCGTAATAGGTCATATCAGTCTGCTCACAATGCCTCAACATCACATCTGAAGCAAGTCTTCCATAACGTAAAGCCTTTACGAAACTGGACTTTTAAGGTCAATGGTAATAAACTAGTTTCTCCAGTTTATCGAAGTAGTTTTAAATTTCCTGTGACTAGGCTGGATGCTGAATAAAACAGTGTTATTCAAAAGTCCTTTCTAGTAGTAATAGATGTATGACTCATGTGAAGTAGTACTTCATCCTTTCTTAAGCTCCACAACACAGAAAACTGATGCAATAGACACCTTTCTGAAATTCAAATCCCCAGCAATGAAAAATTACAATACTATTGACCAGATTCTTCATAAATGATTGGTAATTGTTCAAATTGCAAAAGATGGAATGAATCGATAGACTGGGTTTTCTGTAGGTTTGCAGTCAGGAAGAGTCTTAAGAAGAGTCTTCTAGTGATTAACAACTTTTTTTTTATGCTTTGAAAACCTTGGATTAAAAGCAGAAAAATCACCTGGCTTATCTGCAGCTCTGAAGAACCTCCTGTGTACATTTCATTCCATGAACTTCCATGAACCTTAGGAGTGATCTTCAGGACAAAGATTAGAACCTACCCCAGGTATAAGCATTTAAAATGGGAGCCAGCCCGTCATAGTATGCAGCGCCTGTCAATACACATTTAAGTGGACAAACTGGTAAAACATACTTGAACCCACAATTGCTTTGTGTTGCCTCACTGTTCTTCTGCCACCTTTCAAAACCAGAGATTTCACTTACAGTACAAGAAATACGAAGACCTCTCCCAGAAAAATTCTAGATCCTTCTCAAAAAACCAACAGCTAAGTAAGACTGGATTAGGAACACTGAAGCTCTAAGTGGAGGGATGCCTGTATGAGATGCTCACAGTTTTCTAATGACAGCATTGTCAATTAAAAAAAGGAATTCTAGAATGCAGACATCAGCCTTCTTGACAGCTTCCTGCTACCAAGATCTGGCTGGCTGAAAGCTTTTGGTGGGCAGGACAGAAGTCTACTGAGAGAGGATTTTCCAGGTGTGAAAAAGCATAGTAATTGCTTTGCTATGGCAAAACGACTAAAAGTCTAAATATTACAGAAAACATGGTTAAGCATAGTTAGATTTCCACCTAGTGAACAAACCAATGGAGATCATTTTGCCAGACTTTTGTGTGAGACCAGGGTTTGTCACACTGCACAGCAGTGGCACCGTGAATCTCCATTACTGCCAAACTCTCCTGTATAAAGCTGGGAATACGTCTACATCTCTACACCAGAGCCTAAATCCAAAAGTGGTAGAGTTGCCTCCAGTGGACACAACATATGGCTGGAATTTGACAGCCGGAGAACAAATGGATAGCACTGCAACAAACTTAAAATACCTGTCATCTTGGTTAGAATGGCAAATATAGCTTAATACAGACACAGATCAGAGGTGCATTGTGCTATTCCAATTTGAGTGACAGGGAGTGTACTTTGTGTGTGATGAAATTGCTCATGATGCAAAAGGGAATGCTGTTCTCTCTTCCTCATCTCAACCATTTACAGGACACCTTCACTCCCTTAACACCAGGCACTGTAAGCCAGGAATTTACTTCTCTCAGGCCTGCGGACATGGTGGGATACAGAAGACTACCAGAATGCAGTTCCTCCAGAAGAAAAGGCAACTGCACTGTCTCTTTTAAAGAGTGAAAGATACTGGAAAAGCTGAACTGCCATCAAGTTCAACCACATAACACATTTTTTAAGAGCTCAATAATAAATCTCCTTCACCCTGTACGAGAAAATATTCAACATGCATGTGTTTTCAGAGAAATCCTGATAAGCCACTGCTTTTAAAATACTGCTTCTAGAACAGTACCCCACGAGATTTTTCAACATTGTAGTGAAACCTTTCTTTGGTGGAAGGAAAAGCATATCATAGTATGACAACTCAAAATTCAAAGAGATGGTATGTGTGGAAAATGAATAAATAGGTGTGATGTTTATACTGCTTTTTAAAAAAAGGAGGAATGCCTTTGTCCAGACCTTGGTCATTCCTCTCTGCAAGGTTCAGGAACACAGGCATGTTGAAAATACCATTAAGGGAGTTGGTTTTAGCACACAAAGTTGTGTCTTTGCAACACCGTGAGAAATGTTTGACCACAAAAAAGCCTTAATTTGAACAGAATAAAGGAGATCGATATGAAAAATATTTTCATTTTATAGATATGCTTTAAGTACCATATATTTTCCCCTTTGTACGAATATTTTCTTTTGATTTTCTAACCAGATTACTTTATTATCTAATATTTCAATTGCTTACATTTTTTTCTAGAGTTCCTGAATATTTGGCCAAGGACCAAAAAGAGGATTATTTGACAACTCATTATACAATGAGACAAAAAAAGTCAAGTAATCAATTGTACAAAGCTTTCACACTTCCTTCTCTACCCAAGTAAACAGGTTGGCCCCACTAAAACGCACAAAACATGCACACCCTGGGAAGAAAGCTTCTAACTCTCATCTGCTGAAAAGGTGAAAAACTATTTACTACTCCAACAGTAACCTTTTCCCCCCATACTAACTAGCTTCTTTTTTAGTTAGCATTAGTTAAAAGCGTGCTGGTAAGTTTATCGTCCCTTGATTAAACACACATGATTCATATTAAAATTTAAACTGAATGTTTAAAATCTTATATGGTTCAGAAGCCAACATTTCAATTTTAGGAAACTTTCAGTGCCACGTTCAGCATTTTACTCTCTCAAAACCTTTATCATTGGAGCCTGTCTGCCAGACACATACATCTGACTCATTCACGTAATTGCTAAAGTACCACGTAAATCCTGCAACCAGAACTATATTAGGAATTACACAAGGGTGCAACTGACCTGGCTACAAATGCCATATACCAATAAGCTGGGGGACTGTGAGGAAAGGAAGAGAAAAAAGAGGTGGTGCTTAGGAGAGGCATATAAAAGCTCCCTGATGAAATACAGTTTAATGATAATCTGAGAGTCACAGAAAACTCCAGCCCCATGAAATGCAAGGCTGGTACATGATTCGGCATGTGTGCGTGTGGATTGGTTTTAACTCATCTTAAGTGAAGCTGGTAATGCAAGGTCTATCCACTAGTCTGCAGCAGAAACTGAGCTGAAGTGCACAAAAGCAAGATCTTCACTGCAATGATATGCATGTGGAAGCCTCAAAATAAGCACAAAGAGCGAGCAAAGCAACCCTGAATTCCATTAGGTTTTTGCTTTTCTTCCTTTTTTTCTTTCTTAAAAAAAAAAAAAAAAAAAGAACATTTCGAACATATGCTTCCCCTTGAGATGGTAATAGGTGGGTTGAAAAGATTCCTCTGATCGGCTGCACACGGAGTTCTAGCAGCAAGTAGGGAAACTGGGAAATTTTGGATGAGCTTTACTATTTTGCAGCATTCTGGTGGTATCTGTTCCGCCAAACTTCATGTATCTTTTTGCACCATTTATGAGCATTCCCACTTGGGTCCATCAGGTAATATGTCCTGTTTGGCTATAAGTGAACAACATTTTAATGATTACTCCAAACACAGTTTAAGCAAAAAGACATAATTATTCTGCACCTACCAATATTCAGAATTAGTTCATAAAATTTCTAAAAGTTAAACTGAATTACAGCTATATAATATTATATATTACTGAATAACCATACATCTGGCACATTGTTAAGCAGTCAATATATTACTGGTATACTCCTCATAATTTACTACATACAAAGAGGGCTAAATTTTCAAAGTCCTTCTTAAGAGCTTCCTTCAAATCCCCAAATCCACATATAGTTTATTTAAACAACAATAAAAATACAGCTGTATCTTTGTGATAAATGTCTATGTCAGGGTGAGGTTTTGTGGGGGGTTTCTTTTATTATTATTTGATTTTGTATGGGGGAATTGGTTTTGTGCTTTTTTTTGGTTGGTTTGTTTTGTTCAGGTTTTTGTTTTGTTTTAAATTAAGACTATCAACCCTTGTATTTAAGTAATTATATTTTCTCCAGAGAAATCTATTTGATAACAACTTAAATTAGCAGCTCAAGGACCTTAGTACCTTTTACAAGGAAATCCAAGAAAGAAACTTACCGTATGAACAAAAAATGTCTTAAAATTCTTGGCTTCTGGCCGCAACTCTAATGACCATGGAATTTCTCCTTTTAGAACTTTGTTGACAGGATCCACATAATACAAGTGGGGCCCTTCTGTGAGCAGCAATTGGCGCCGACGTGCAAACAATCCCTAGTGAGAAAAGTAGAAGCAGCAATGCAAAAAAAGGCACAAAATAAAAATGTAAATGTGCAGATCTATGAATTGAACAACAGAGGTAGAATAAAACCAGCTCAGTGATAGGAGAGTATGTTTGGATTTGGGGGACTTCAATTTTCCATTTACTTTACCTATTTGACCTCACTCCTTTTTTAAGGGGTTGCAGTGCATTCCTACTATGTGGCAAAACACAAGTACTCTTTCAGGAAAACATCTTCAAATTCTAGCAAAACATAAAACACCTAGCTGTACATAGTGAAGCAAAATCTATTTGTCAAAGATTCCAGCACAGAAATCAACAGTTGTGATTTTGTAGAAAAGATAGGAACAAGCAGGTACTAACTTAGATGAAAGATAACCTTCTTTCCTGGAAAGTTGATGCAGACTATCCTTGCTCAGCTGTACAATATTAAAGTTAATACTTAAAGCTGTTCTAATGCCACCTCTGCCCCTCTCAGAATAAAGGCACTAAGTCAGATTCAGGAAAAACACCACAGTTAAGAACAACATGAGCTTGTATTTCATTTTTCAGTATTTGTGGCTCAAGCCACATTCAGACACACATCAAGACAAAGTGATCAAGACAAAGTGTTTAGTGGGCTATATCAGATTGGGAAGAGAAGAGGGAGCAAAAACTCATTTACTACAATCTCAAAATGAAAGTATCAATAGCAGCTCTACTTTTAGCTTTTCCAAGAAATCAAAAGCATATCACAAAATTAAGAAAAAACAATCTACTCACAAGAAAACACAGAATTTTTAAAAATAAACAATTTGCCACTTACTTATGTAAGTTCAACAAGTAAGCTTTAAAATAGGTTCCTTATCTATGCTGCAACTGTGCAAAAATGTGACAGCTGAATCTTGTTACAGGAAATTTAAAAAAAAAAACCCTTACCTTTCTTTTGTCCACTGGACCCATTTTCAGGATTAAGTTATTTTCTACAAACTGATGCCTTAAAAAAAGAAAAATAACTATTACTCCAGAAGTAATTCTTTCATAGAAACAGCTATTATTAATATAAAGCAGTTTTTCATTTCACTCCCTAGCGTCTCCTTTTCCACCAAAGAGTCCTGAGCAACTTTACTAGATGAATTTTGTACTCTTCCTCATTCCAGGCCAAGGAGTTTTTTCTAATTCCTGACAGGGTAGAAAAAAAAATTTAAAAAATCACAATCACACATGAGAAACTTCTCTAAAGCATGCAAAGAAATGCTATCAGTTACATAGTCTGGAGATATTTTGGTTGGATATCAACAGAATATTACACACACAGAAACCCAACAACTTATAGTGTCAGTAAGAAAGGAGGAACCTTTTCTAGTTTTAGGACTTCAGAACAAAGACTCCTCAGCACTGGGTAATGTCATTCTGCCTATCTTAGAAACACACTCCATGCCATCTTCTAGATTTGGTACATTTTAGAAATATAGTATTAGGGTTTTGCTGCTATTGCTTTAAAAATAGAAGTCAAAAAAATGTAGTTGCTAATTGCTTGAACATACTAAGATTGACAAATATTAATTTAAATCAAAATCCCTTATTTTTCAAGGTTCTTTATTGCTGTGCAAGTAAAGATGAGCGATATTCAAAGATCCTACCAAGGATTTCCACCAGCTTGTTTTGCCAGAAGTAACCTCTTCTCATCTTCAGAAAACTGTAAGTCCAGCTCAAAGGAATTGGTGTCAAGATCATGAATATACTGTTCAATATTTCCTCCTGATGTCTGTGGTGTACTTGTCTCTGGGACAGACAGTGAATGGGAAGAGGCAGAACTAGAAACTTGCATGCAACCAAACTGACTCAGGAGATTGTCATACTAAAGGAGGAAACAAAACGAAGTAATTAAATGTTTTGCATTAAACTTTGGTTTTTAATTTAAGCATGGTTTTGTTTATTTTGCTTTTGGGCAAAAAACCCATTCTCTATAGATTAACAGGCACTTATGCAAAAAAGTATAATTGATCAAAAGCAAGCCAAACAGTATTTTTTCAAAACACTCGCTCTGTAAGAAAAAAAATGTTGACTTAAAATTTTACCCAGCAATTTTATTTTAGATTAATACTTGAAGTTCTCATTAAAACATAACTAAACAGTAATTTCAGTAAAAATATTTAATATTCAATAATTATGCCTTAATGAAAGTCTCAGGCAGCATCAGAGCTGAATATATGTACAGATAAACATACATTTCCATAACAGTCTTCATCATCCTCTGACATAGCAGGTAAATATGCTGTAAGTTTAGGAGGTGTCTGAAGATGTAGGTTCTCCCACACAATGGATTCGAAGAAGGGATGAGCCTTAAGAGGTCCATATCCTCCCATTTCTTCACAACCTAATCTGTTGGTAGCATCTAGAACCTGAGCAAATCAAAATTAAGTTACCCTCCATAAAATGATGACAAGGGGCAAGCACCATTCACATTTGCACAGCAGCATGTGAAAACTTAAAACCAACTGTCCTAAGCATACATATGTATAATACAAGGAGACTACTTATAATAAATAAGATGTTATTTGTCGGTATGTCATGTCAGCAACATTTTGTAGTAGACCAGCTCACAGATCTAAAGGAAGGAGCACTTCTTTCGGTCCACGCAATTTTTTTTTTTTTGTTCTTCGTAAACACAGAAGCAGACATACAGAGAAGGCCTGATGGAACATCTCATTTAAGTGTAGTCCACTATCACATTCTAGTGATGCAAGAAGCTGTGGAAGCTGTAGTTGGTGTCAAATATCAACCTCTCAAGCATCCTAAAATGACACGGTTCTCAGGCTGTTAATATAACCTGGACTTCACCATTCAGCAGGCACTGACTTGGCCATAGAGCTGGCCTTGGACACAGGAATGCCCTGCTAGGCCCTTTATGTTGTACCCATCATCATCCACAAAGATAAGCATTTCCTCCTCACCCCCTGCTAATATGCTACACTATTGAATTTGAAAAAGCTTATACCACCCAAAATGTTCTCTGCATATTCACTTTAGTGTCATGGCTATAATCTCACTCATGGGATAGAACTACTTTCTCTTCCTACTTGTCAAACCTCCACATGAACAGTAATTCTTAGACTGATACTATTGAGATGTATTAAAGTGCATGCTAATGCCAAGGTAAGTGGACTTACATTGTAATGAATGTATCTGCCTGTGATGTATAGAAGACTGTTTTCAACTAAATGATCCATTATACAGCTCAAAAAGAATTAATCTGAGAACTATATAAACTTGAGTATTTGAATCTTAATGTCTATGTGTAATGCACAGTGTCTAGAATCACTTGCTTCCATTCAGAGACATTCCTTGTCCACATTTTAAGTTTAATGCTGTTTAACAATGGATGTTGATTTCTCAAGACACTCCCCTACAGTCAATAATGCTCACAGCCCTTCTTACTATAATGTTTGCAACAGAGTGCATAGAAACTTTCAGAAAAGTTTCTGAACATAAGCCAAATGTTTCCAGTGTCATCAAGTGATTTAACAGCAGCAAATATTTACCAATAACTTTTCAACAAGGTCTTTCGCCTTGGGAAAAAATTTTTCTGGAAAGTCATATTCCAACTTTATTATCTTCTGGAATATAAGATATTCATTTCTGCAAAAGAGAAAAATATTGACTCTTGTTATTAGTTTTCCATGGTTCTTTCACCTTAGCCTGCATAACTCGGACAAATATTAAACAGGAAATCTACAAGTTAAGTCATATTCCCATAAATCTTCCTAGGAGAAGGAGTACAAGTATCTATGATCCTATAAGCACCAGATACTTGAGCAATAACAAGAGAAGTTCAAATGATGCAGAGAGATGCCTTATACCCTCTTCACAAATAAGGTTATCTCTATGGTACAAATTACATGTGAAATTTTAGGATAACTTAAGGAATGTCTCTCAGGAACTCTAGTTACAGCTCTCTAAGCAACTTCAAGACATCAAAAAGAACAAATAATAGCAGGTATGACATTAACACCAACACTGCATCGTGAAAAGTTGTACTTCAGAACTGGTAATAAGGTAAAAATCAAAATCAAGTCAATATATTTATGATCCACGTATAAAGAATTAGCTTAAATCTCTTACCCGGCTCTAAATGGAGGCAATCCAGCTACAAGTTGATATATTATACATCCCAGAGCCCAGAGGTCAGAGCTTCAAAAGAAAGAGGAAGAAACATATAGCATCTTTTCATAACAGAAGTCTTTAAACTGTAATTTAAAAAGAAAAATTCTTAACTTTCTGCTACTTAAAACATAGCACAAACCCCATGGATAAATTTGCTCTGTATAATTTCCATACTATTCTCACTTCAGCCCCTGACAGAAGAGAAGGCTAGCAACACAACTTTGTTAAAGAAAAAAAACTATACAGTAACAATCCCACAACAACTAACTACAAGGACACATGCAAGACTGAATTCTCAGGCAAAATAATACGTATATAAGTCTGAAAAGAATACTGGTTTATCCCCTATGACAATTCAAAGATGCATCCAAATTAATGCAATAGAATTTAAATCCTCTCCTCTAAGTATTTTATAAAAAAAACCCACCAAACAAAACAATACAGCTTTTTCACTTGAAGCTCTTCTTAAGACACAAACAAAAAGGCAGACTATATGGTATGTGGGTGAGGGAAAGTTAAGTTTTAGCGTGTTGGCCTGAAATAGCACTTTAAACTTAGTGTACTTCAAGGTAAGCTACACATAGATTTGATTAAAGTTTCAAAATCCTCATGGAAGACTAAAATACTATCAGAGACTCAAAACTACTCAAATTACAGATGAGGCATTATGCAACTTCTAAATGAAGATGACAGCCTGATGAAGTCTTTCCATCAGCCAAAAAAGTTAAAACCTAGCACAAATTACTACAGTTATTCCTATAAGAGTTCTTTTTTCCCCCCTATGGTTTTTCAGCAATTAACTTACTCTTCCATCACTGTAATAAAATAGATCTACGCATTCAGCGGGTTACCATCAACAAGCAATTTTAATGAGTTAAGAGATTTCTTAAGGGCATCACTCAAACCAGGCACAGAGATGAGCTTTAAAACATTGCAAACCTCAAGTACAGCTTAGCAAAAATAACTGCAAGTTGATCTAAATACAAGTCAAAGAACGCTGCAGCCTTTCCTCTAACTGACAGCATGCGACATTGGTTGTTACTACAGCAGGAAATACCATTATTTGAGGAAGATTTTATAAAACAGAATTAAAATAATTACATTATTTGGATAACATAAAAAATTTGATATATTTATGGGTAAGAAATCCAACTTCACATTATACACCGTCAGCAACACCTAATCCTGTTTGTAGAACTCCAGAAGGTAGATGAATTGAGGAAACCAGCACTAAGACAAAAAGCAATACTTGTTAAGAAAAAAAAATTTTCAAACTTTCTTAAAAAACTTTTACACACAAGCATCTTTTTTCTTTACAATACTAAGCTTCCTTGCTTGCTTTATCCACTCCTCCCCATTTAACAGCATCCTGACAGAGTCAGTGAAGTTCTGAAATGCAGAGTCCTCACCTTTTACAGGCAGATTTCTCTGTCAGCAGTTCTGGAGAAACATACTGTGCTGTCCCAACAAATGAATTTGCCCGTGCTGGTAAGGAAAAAGAAAGAAATAAGCCAAACACATACTTATGGATAAACCAATCTTTCCTTTCCTCCCCTGTACCAACCCAATTAAAGAAACCTGCAAAGGCAATCCCTTGCAAGTTACATAATGCTACCAAGAACCCATGGGAATTTAATTTCTCTATCAATCCACACAACCTGCTCGGAAGAAACAAATCAGTCTCAGTGACACTCATGTGGTTCAAGAAGTTGGGCATTTAGGTACTCTGTCAGTTATAAAATCTACCAACAGAAGCTTACTACATTCAAGAAAAAAAGGTTATCAAATTGAGTTCAGCTTAGTGCTTTTTTCAGGCATTGTTTGCAGCATCTATTTACAGGTTATTACTAAAAACTAGCAACACAAGAATTCTATAGCCTTCAGTGGCTATCAGAGTTGCACAAATAAGTTAAAGACATAAGCAGAGTAAAAACTTATTGTATCAGCTGAGCCACAATACCTCTGTTTGTATTCTTGTCTTGCAAATGAAAACTAAGTAATTTGAAGTAGTTTGACTTCCCACTATATTTGGTGATCCAGCTGGCTATAACACTACACCAAATATTACCTTTTCTGACATAATCCAAGCAGTGACACTCAAAACTGTTTCAAGATCTCTCAGTGATTTAGATGAGGTTGACGATATTTGAAAGTTATAATTCGGTAAATACAACATATGTACATTTTCAAAGGACCACTTGCTATAATTATCTGTGTTACATAATGAAATAAATCATGGCATACCTTGTCTGCTATCTGCAGATAATACTTTCGCTGTTCCAAAGTCTGTTATTTGAATGTGCATATCTTCATTTAATAAGATGTTCTCTGGCTTAAGGTCCCTAGAAAAGACAGATTTTTATATTCAAACACCATACAAATGAAAGTTGCAAAACTGTCTAGTGATTTAGGTATACAATGTTATCATAAATGATGTAGACATTCTATAAACATCGTCGCAACAACTTTCTTCTAACTTGTAGCTGTCAACCTGCAGACTATCAGATTTGGATAAGCCCCCTAATTAACATTTTTTCTAAAAAGACCTTAAGTAATTAATCATCTCAAAACTACACTACTGTGCATCTCAACAGAAATGAAAAAAAAACCCATAAAAACAAAAAACAAACAAAAAACTCCCTGAAACAAACAAAAAAAAGCACCTCCCAACAAATCCCAACAAAAATCTCATCCCACAAAAACACACACAAAAACCCAAGCCCTTTCACTCCAAAGCCTTAATTTAAATAACACCTGACAGACTGATACGGCATTAAGATCTTCTAGGCCTGTTTCCTCTGTGCAAAACTCCAGTTAGTCAAACTCCAGTGGCAAACCCAGCCCCAGCTAAATGTCCAGACTACGTAAGAACTGTAAACCACCTCCATGTATAATCTCTCTTTCAAATGTATGCCTACCATTTGCATGGACACTGCCACCAGTGTCCATTTTCTGAATAAAACCAGACCTCACAGTATGACGAACACAATAGAAAGTAATATAGAGTTAGATGTCAAGAGGCTTGTCAGCAACAAAATAAGGAGCATAAAATAAGGGTGACACTGATACGGTATTACTTTGCACAGAGTTTCCTCAGCTGAAAAGATGACATACTTCCCCCTCTTAAGCAGTATCTTTGAATGCTCATAAAGAAATTTGGAGCATGGGAGTTGTTTTGGTTGACTGGTAAGAAAAAAAAACAGTACAAATTCAAAGCTGTTTTAAAGCTGTTTCCATCAACCACTGTGCAGCATTATTTTCATCGGATTGCAGCCCCCTATAATGAAAAAGCATGGGTTGTACAATTTAGAGTCTGCGGATTAGCACAGAGAGCAATTGGAATGAAGTAATTATGACATACAAGCCATAAAAATCCTCTTCATTTTCCTGTAACTAATCTCAGAGAGATATATGAATGGAATGGACCCTTTTAACAGTTCTGTGTGGGGCTTTTTTACATATACATTTGTATGTAGACATATTGTACTCTATACACACATATACACAGTGTTCATATTATACACCTACATTAATACTGTATTACGGATCTATAGCTATATAACTGGATACATAGAGATATATCTGTAATAACTTTTCCAGAGTAGCCTGACATCTGAAACTGTTTCTGTCTCATGTCCTATTTCTTTAGGCAGCAGAAAATCCCAAGAGCTTTCAGGCACTGCTAGAGCTGTGGCCTTATAAACTTCATACTAAGTTCTCTAATTGCACAATCTCACTGTTTTCTTTTGAGCTTCTCATAAGGGCCTTCATATGAAGACAAGCATAAAGCAGCTCTTCTGTAACACAAGATTTCCAAAATAGGCTTAGTAACACTGACAATCATGCTACATTCATTTTATAAGCCTTCTCTCAGCCTAACACATGGACTGTAAAAGTGAATGAAACTGGGAGTTCTTGAATGTTTTTTCACCCTCGTGGAAAATTTTATGCTTTCATACTCTCCACATCCATCCCCCTTAGATTCTATTCCAAATTATTACACAAAAAAGTATTAGAACACTTTTTCCTTTTAAATGTAACTGAAAGAAGTAATGCTATCAGAATTATAATCAGCCAGCTTTCTGCCAATTAGCATATACTGTTTCACGACAACTGCTCAGTAACCTACAGACACAATAGATTCCTCACCCAAAAAGAAGTTCTGCAGCTCAGATGTTTAGTACTTAAAACCTTAATTTATTTAATAAACGTGAGTGAAAAAACATGATTATCCAAAGAATACAATTACATTCAGAACAACTGTGAAAGTACTATTAGAAACTTTGCTAGATTTCACCATTTACCCAATTATTGTTCAGCTTTGTGGAAATTGTTCACTCAGTGAAAACTGATACAGAATAATTTTACTTTTCTTGATTATATAGCACACACTAAATCACACACCAGAAAAATTCTAATTACCTTTGCTACATAACAGCACAGGAAAAAAAGTGTAGTTAAACAAAAAGTCTGTTTCTGTTTTCAGACCAACTGATCAAGCTTGAAAGACAAGCTTTTGGTAATGCTAATTCTAGGCCAAAAGGTTTTCTTACTTCTTCCTGCTACAACAGTTTGTATAACAACAGAGATTGGCTCTCCTCCTCAAGTTTTCTATGTTTAGCTACTGATGTTAACAGTACCAGTGCTGATCAAATGCTACTATGTGCTCATTTCACAAAATTCACAAAGAATGTTTCTAGAAAAAAACATAATCAACTGCATGTTGGTCTCAACTTTGTATTACCTGTGAATTATTCCTTTCCCATGCAAATACTCCAGGGCTGATACAATTTCAGCAGTATAAAACCTGGTACAGGTCTCATCAAATGAACCAATTTTGCGTATATACTTTAGCAGCTCTCCGTTTTTGGCATAGCTAAGCCCAAAATCTGCATGTAAGTAGTTAAGGTCTATCTCTAAGCCATTCTAAAACAAAAATCCCCACATCTCATTCCAAAGATAAGAATGATACTAAAAATACATAAACAGGAGGGAAGAAGTTGGTTAATTTGAAACTTTACACGGCAGCAGCCCAAAATAATTACTTAAATATGTTAACAACCTAGGACACAGGTCCAAATTTCTTAGCACAGCAAAGACTACGTAAAGTTTGTTGTTTTTTCAGACTTGTGACCCGACTAATTAATTTAAATTGTATACATAATTGCCCTCAAAAAGAATTATTTACAGTAAAAACTGATATAAGTTTAAAATTGTCCCATCACCTGAGAAGTACCAGAGCAAGTGTTTCCACTACAAAGAGGCTCTGTGAGCTCTTTTAGTGTATGCTGCATGAACTCCAGGGCCTGCAAGCACTGCCAGCAGCCTCTGGGAAAACCACAGCTACTTACTGACCCCACAAACAGACTGATCTATCCCTTTAGCCTTGGCACAGCCAATTGGAAGCAGAAAGTTTAGGAGGAAATTCGCATCATTAACGTTTTCTTCACAAGGAAAAAATAAAGCCAACTGCCAACCAGTGAGCTTCCAGGATGAAACTGTACTTTGCAATTACTGCTAGAGAGAGAGCACGGGAAACAGAAGCCCAAACGGAAGATTCAGATTACTCTGTAAGCACTTTTACAGAAGAAAAATTTTAATAATAGCTCTAATTGCCAAAAGAAAAAAATAGCAGTAAATATAGCTGGCTACCCCTATTAAACATGGGAATCGTGGTGTTTTACTATACATATCACAAATAAAATACTTCTTAAACACTTCTCATACACCACCCCAATTTAGTATTTTTAAATTACTTTAAACTTGGATCGTTGCAAGTCATCCTTCAACATTTACCACACGGACAATTTGCTTTGTTGCTCTCCCCCGTCCCACAAGACACCCACTCTTTTCTTTGAGGGGACCTGCTCATTCCATCTGCTTAATTTCTATTAAAAGCATGACTGCAAAAATTGCAGCACATACATTAGGCTATTTAAAGTACCTGAAGTTATTTTCATCATTCCTGTTAGACCATGTTTCAAAGGAACCTAAACTGGGTTCCTGTTAAGAAAGTGTTACAGCAAGTTTTAAAACACAAAGGATACATAGCTTTTCATCATCCTGAAAGGTGAAGTAGAGTTTCACAAAAAAAGGGTGATCCAGACGGGACATTACATCTCTCTCTCGTGTCACATATGGCACCTTGTTCTCTTTTATGATATGACGTTTTTCTAGAATTTTAACTTAATGAAAAAAAATAGAGTGAAAATAGAATAGGTACAATCAAATGAAGTCCATCTAAGTAATTTGTTTTGGGGCTTTTTGGTCTGATAAAATTATCATAAAACCACTAATTCTGTTTTTTTCAACAGGTGTTTTGTACCAGGACTACATTGATATTATATTTTCTAATAGTTCATGTTAAAGGAGCCAATACTTACTGGCATACTCTCTAGAACTTGCCAATTCTCGAGCCAAGACAACCTGTTGCCAGAGGAGAAAAAACATACTGTAACTGGTCATTAAAGATGTACACTAACACCAATTTTGATCTTCCAGTCGGTATTCAGAACACAACAAAATATTTAAGCATGTGTTCATATTATGCTGGCTTCAACAAGACTTCTGTGGAAATTCAGTTCAGCACAACAACGCTTGTTTTGCTAAAAGACTTACACACTTGAGAGGGAAAACAATGATTTACTTTTTTTCCAGGAGAATTCTGAAGGTTGTAACGTAAGTCACAGTAAATCGCCAAATCTTCTTCAAGAGGGGACGAAAAGCCACAGGCTGAGGAATATTTATAAAAATCTAATTGTCACAGTACTTTCCTTAACATAAATGGCGAAGATCGAAAGATAAAATTTATCTGAGAGACCAAAAGTAAAAAGTCACACAGAACTTTTAACTACTCACAGTTTGTTAAGAAGATTTAAATAAAGGCAATGGTAGATTTCCAATTAGTAGAAGCAAGAGACGAAATTTCAGGCAAGCAGGTTTACATTTTTAAAGAGAAGATTTTGGGGGAACACAAATGAAAGCTCATTTTCAAGAAAGAACTTTATAAAAGGTAACTTTAAAGACAATTGGAAAAGTCCCCCTTGCCTGAATGCGAGCAATAATCTTGTAACAACAAATGACTAAAGTTTTCAGCTTTCCCGTTGTAAGTTTATATCCATTTCAACACCTTGCTAGAATCTCAACTTTATACTAATTGCATAGTTCTTACAAAGACAAACTCCTAGGCCAGTTCCAATCCTTTATACCATAAACTTTTAACATAAGCTATTATGCTATCACAATTATATTAGAAAGCAATGTTGACTGAAAATCCAAGCATGAAGACATTAGGATACAATGGAACTTTTTATGAATTTAGAAGGTGCTTGGAAAAAATCAGCACCCGTATTTAGTGCAACACTGTTTTAATAGTTCAGCTTAAAACCGCTATGTCCCATTCATTTATTCTTCAAGCTGTTCTTTCCAGATTTAAATCTCATCAATCTTACACACACAACAAATTTTGAAGTTTATCTAAGATATTTGGCACCTCTTATAAAAAGTAAAGTTACCGTTGAGAAAGATCCTTCGCCCAGAATTTTCCCAAATTTGAAGTCATCAGGTCGTTTCTTTCGAGGCTGTGGAGGCTGCTGTCCTGTATGTTGCTGCAAGGAGCTGGAATTAGATCTTGATTCAGGTGCTGTGCTTTCCATGTTAGATCCCTGTCTGCTGCCACAGGGAGAAATGACAGATGGAGTGCTGGAATCTGCTTCGTTCCTCACCATTGATGGGGATGAGCAGGAGCATAACACTACACTTGACTGGATTGGAACAGCATCATACTGAAAAGAGAAATGAAACTGTTATTCCCATACCTGGTGCAACAGCACTTTATTTCCATACAAGAATCACATAAAGTCTTCTTTGTAAGAGTTATCATTAGAAATTTCTTTAGGAGGGAATGTCAGTATTTATTTTGGCAGCTCCAATTTGTTAAACAACTCTGTTTAGGTCAGGCTGTCATACAGTCATAAGTCAAACGTCTGAATATTTAATTAATGTTTTTTTCAAACTCAAAAAAATGCTCCCTAACACCAAGTTACCAAATTTCACAGTATATTCTCCTACAAATAACATGATCTTTAAACATCTAGTTATACAATGAATATCTGTTTTACTAGTAACATTAGTTCAGAAATCCAAGTTACAATGAACTGTAAATGAACACATGAAAACTTTATTGGAGACAAAGGACACATTCTTATTTTTTTACTTGGAATTTCACTTTCTTCAGTACAACTGGGGAAGGACAAGAAGAAAAGAGATAACATACAAAAGGCAGATCAGCTGGAGGGTTTAATAATCAGCAATACCTAATACTTTTTTTTGAAGAATGCTCTGGTTCATGACCTTTTAAAACAAGGGAGATTATATTATTCAAATTGTACATATGGTCACATAAGGACAACCCAACTGCAAAACAAAGAACCAGACATTGCCCAGAAAACAGCAAGTACAAGAAACACACTCCTAAAACTGATTCATGCAATATACAAAGAAAATCATCATTTGGTACCCTTTCATCAATTTTCCCTAAGTAAGACCAAGGAATCTTGTCAAGCTGCTTTCCATCTCTTTTGGTAAAAGACCATTAGTCTCTCAGGACCTGCTTCAGATGTTTTAAGTGAAACTGGCCAGAAAATGTAAACAATAGGAGAGCTCTGCTAAACTTCTGCTGACAACAAAAACTTAAAGGGTACCTAAAGACATAGATAAAGAGTTAGACCTTACTCTTCTTTCTACCAAAACATGACTACAATTAAAATATGGTCCAAGTACTTAGGTATAACGATGGGACACAAGTGGAGAATGAACTTAAGCTAGTCCATACTTGAATACGCAGAATTAGAAAGCATGAACTAGGAGAAGCAAGGTCTTAATGCCACTGGTAGGGTGCAAACATTAAGGAAAAAAACCAAAACAAACCAGTTTCAGGAGAAAAATCAAGACACTGAACTCCTGGGAAACAAAAAAATCTAATCATCTGACTAGATTAAGCTCCTGAAACCTGTGTGTTTATTAAAGAACCTGACTGTTTCAGCCATCTGGTAACACAAAACTCTGAAAATTAGGATCACCTGCAATTCAACAGAACCCTTAGTGGATATAAGAACTACGGACTGGTGTATGTCATAAGTGCTAGACTAAAATATTATAAGAAATTCACAGACTATCATGAATATAAATCAATACAAACATGGGTGCCCTATATCACCAAAGTCTGCTTAAGAAATTGCAGGATTCAGAAAGCAACATACCAACACTCTGAGATATCTATAAATTTATCTTTTCACTTACAAATGAAAACTGAGAGGCTTTCAAAACAGATATGACATGATATAGCACAAGAGAGCCTCCCTGGCTGTCATAGTATTCCATCACATCTCTGTGACAGACTAGTCTTACATCTCTGCCAAACACAGCTCTTTGGTACAGGGACATCTTCCATAATCTACGACTCTAAGACTTACTGTACAAACTAATAGATCTTGAAGTAAAAATGTGAATTCCTTACATTAACCTGCACAATTAAGAAGGAATAAAAGCTTTTATTTCACATTAAGAGAAGGCAAAACTGCTTTCAGTGGACAGGTGTTTTATTGTTTTAGAAATAAAGCTGACTTGCCACTGTTTATCAATACTGAGATTCTGCTAAAGACAGTTTAAGTTAGATAGAGTTGGCCTGAGAGGTTTTGTAAATTATTTTGACATTGTCATATAAACTAAAAGTTCTGAAATTGAAATTTATTTTGTATTGCTTGTAATTTAAACATTGACAACCTGGGGCTTTAAAGGGAAAAAATTAATAGCTGGCAGTTATACTTAATATATTCTTTTCATGGCACACTAGTGTTTCAGACAGTTGACAAAGATGCAGCAGCTGCATCTGACATACATCTTGTATCTGAAAAAGAGCATCAGAAGGGGCAATTAACAGATATTATGCACAGCTTTCCCACTGGCCTCCTCCCCCCTCATATCCCACAATTAAAATGTTTACCTTCTCTATGTTCCCCAATACCTATTTGTGACAGTCTCCACTTCAAAGGCTAAAGTGCAACACACCCTGGGAGTTCCAGCATATTCCAAAATTGAAAAGCAACTCAGCAGGTCAGATACCAAGGCCTGAATATATGTCCTCAGACTATGCCTCTTAGTACTTAAAATGAGAATGCAGGCAAAAGCAGTGTAGTTCAGCTACAAGAAACTTAAGATACAAAGAAACACTGATTCAGAATAAGAAAATCCAACTAAAAGCCTCACCTTTCAGTGCAAAGAGCACAGTACAGGTTGCACTTCCCAGTATATACCAATCCCACACAGGAGTGGTTTGCAGAAACTGTAATGACTATTGTGTGATCCCTATCAATATTTAACACCAGTTTTCCTTTCATAAACTGTGAGTACGCCAGAGAGAGTGCCCTGAATGAACGCAAGCCAGAGCAACATTAGATAGTGTGCGCTCATAAACTGCAGCAAATATCAATTCTCAGACCTTACATGCTCATGTCTATTTCTGCTCTGGACTTCTGCCTAAAAACAGATTGTCAGACTCTCCCTAAGTGACCAACAGCATCCTCTTTCTGTTAACCAATTGTACGTTTGTGTGTAGAGAAACAATATACTGAATAATCTATCAAACTCCATTGCATGCCAGTTTCCATTTATATATGCTTAGAAGTCTGTCAGATAGTTTAAAGAATTTAACAATACAACTATCTGCCAACATTATTATTACCTCTAAGGAATGAAGATACTTGCCTAAAGAGAAAAAACATTCATTAAAAAGTGTAATGCTGTCACTGTCTTGTCATTATAACCTAAAATCAAGCATGTAATGGATGGAACAAAACATAGATTAAACCAAGCCTCAGCAGTACTTCTGAATGCACCACACAGCTAGTAAATTGTAGTTAATCTAACAAGTTAACCTAACAAGTTAACTTTGACACTCTAGTACATACAGCCACATTAAATTAAATTAAAATATCATAGTAATTTGGAGGTATTTACAAACATGTATTTTGCTCAGTTTCAGCTTGACAGAAGTTCAACAGGATTTCTATGAGCAAACACTCCTCTCCAAAAAAAAAGGCATTTATTAAAAATTATACTATGTTACAAAGATATTTTCCTGAGACACCAGGATGCTCTTTTCTACAGAAAAGTTCTTTGAAGATCAGAATAAGCCATTTTCTTCAAATTGCAGCAAACAAGCTCTACTCCGAGTATTAACTGTAGATATTTAAAAAGCATTAACATCAAACATTAGTCTCCTCTAGCACAGTGGTTTGCATTTATGTTGCATAGAGCTGCATCAGCACTCCTTCAAACCTCATCATCAAATGGTATGCAAAGATGACTGCAGAGAACTTAGAATTTAGCTCATAACCCAATTCCACACATCTTGAAGAAACTGACCATTAGTCAGCAAAACAGTCCAAAGCCAAACAATATGTCAAAACCTATACTTTGATCAAGGTTCATAAATGGTTACCAATTACTACATTTAAATGAACAAATTAAAATCTCATATTTTAATTATAAAAACTATTTTAACACAAATTTGTTTTGCAAAAGAATCCGAAGTCATACATCTATCTGGGGTGACATTTTTCGATCTCAGAAGTTGCCACATGAAAAACTGTTGCTTAATAGACCATTTTTATGAATAAACCATGTAAATTTCAAAAGCATTCAGCTATATAAAAGGAGGATTTTTTGTTGTTGTTGTTTAAACAGAATGCTATGCTAACTGATTAAACAAGTCTAGGAGCCAACCCACCAAAACAACTATGCTCACCTTCATGCCCACTGTTATTTGAAGTTTCTCAAATGCTGGATGGTAAGCACTCATTGAAGCACTGCATAAAACTGTCCCCTCAAAAAATCTCTTAACAAAATATCTTCATAGAAATAACCATAATTTAAAAGACAAGAAGAGATCTTTAAAAATCATGTCTTGGTAATACATTCCACAATTAAACATTATATGAATTAGTGGAAGGGAAAAGCTTGGAACAGATAATTCTTCAAAGACGCTATTTTACCTAAAATGGCTGGCACCTTTGTGATAGTGGGAAACAGAAGTACTGTTTGTCTACTGATGTTCTTTGCTTTGTGTAGTAAATCCATAACACAGTTCATACATAAGTGAGTAATGAGGATATCAGCTTCATGTTATATCAGCAAAAGTATAGCAAATAGGCTCAATGATTTGGAAGTAAAGAGAACACCTCTGCATTATGAGACTGTTTTGACTCTTCTTTTAGGGAATAAAGATATTTTATCTACAAGACTGATTTTGTTTCTATAGAAATTAATTTTTCACATACAGAGCAATGCTGATCCAAGATTTTAGTTAATGTAAATGCCTTTCTCTAAATTTGACCACCTTACATACAGTGGCATTTCCTGCCACTAATTTCCAGGCTTCTAATTCCAAATTCAGGTAGGGATTAAAGCTAATGAAAGGATTTGTAAGAACCTGCATATCAGCCAGTTACACTCTAACCTCCTCTACTGCTAGGCAAAGCACTTAAGTTCCAAGCACCTTCAGGGACAGAGACTATTTAAGGCCTCCTTTCACTGCCTTGAGCCTCAAAACAAATCAGAAACAGGAAACCACAAAAATCTCCAAGTCCGCCTATGGCCCAAATAAAAAAATCTTAAGTCAGTCTATGGCCCAAATAGCTGTAATGTAAACAAGCCATTGAGAATTCATCTCACATAAAACAGATCTAGGCTAGCTCACAAGAAAACAAAAGCCATCTGTGATTGCAGTGGTCTATAGATCCCAGGCTACACCAGCAGCTACTCCTGAGGCACAAGGATGTTCAGGTGCTGCACAGCAGGGATGCGGCCCACTAACACACAGAAGGACTTCCAATGCCAGCAGCTTGAGGAGGCAAAGAGAACGGTTTGGTGTGAAGAACAGAGAAGAAGCCACACAGAAGTGGCAGTATATAGATAGAGTCTATAAAGGATCCATGGCACAGTCAAAAACTGTAAATTAAATTTCTGCAGGATTACTAAAGAACCAAACACCAAATTTAATACTTTCTTTTCAGAAGAATGCGCTATGCAAGTTAATCCTTGTAATTTTTCACCATAAAGAACTATAAAGTATTTGCCAGGTGAAGTATCTACAGCTTGTTTTTTAAAGCAGAAAGTAACTCTCACGTTCAGTATTTAGTCACACAGCAGAACAGTTATTTCCTCCAGCGCTGTTGAGTAGAATCCATAAGATGTTAAAAATAAGGTTCTAGACCAAACAGCTAACTGTGTGCATGTTGTGTTCAGTCCTTTCAAACACTTTAGACTGTGGTAACTTTCCACAAGCTTAACTGCAAGTAAGATGTCAGAAAGGGAAGTGAGGAGGGAGGACAATCAGCTCCTTCCCCTTTTTTGCTTCTTTATTACACACATATAATCTAACTTGGCCACTTGCAAAGAAAGATTTTCTTATTTGAAATACCAGAAACAGTGATTCCTTGGCTTCACACATATTCTTCATAAAGCTCCAATACGAGGAACTTGGAAAAGGATTTTATCTTTCAAATATACTGTAAGTTCACTTGCATATTTTCTGATGCCAGAGATGTGCTAGTTCTACAGCAATTCCTACAGTTTTTCTAGAGAAAAAATAACTATATAAAATACAAGTTTACCGTTAAAAAACAAGGGTTACTAAAATATTTCACATCTTCATAGATCAAACTTATTTTTATTACTTTGCCGGTTTACTCCATTTTTCAGTCCAACAAAGTGATTGTGCCCCTGGTTTCATGCCTTCTGTACAAAAATTCCTGCAAGAATTTCAATAGTCAGCATCTCTTTCCAAGTTTTTCCTGCACTGCTGCTTTCCAGCTGATCTGCTTTAGGGAAGTGCAGTGAGCCCAAGACTGCTGGGTGTCTTACAATGGCAAGCTACAGCAATCTAATTATTGAGTTTCAAGAGCTACAAGAAACAGACATTACTTCTGGTACTGTAAGTAATGGATCAATAACCCAAAAGACAATTTGCTTTAAAGTAAACAGGCTACCTCCACAGTGGAATCATGGTTTAATTGAACATTGCTATTATACCCAGATTATTCCGTGGATCATCTCCTTTCTAAGGGCTACAAGCACTTCTTACATTGGAAATATGAATGTATATAAAACTGCTCCTCTTAAAACTTTCAGTTTTTCAACCTTAGAGTACCTCTTCAACATCAACATCTTTTACTATTTTCTATTCCTGCAGCCTGCTCTGGTAAGGGATTTACAGAAAAATTATCCCAACTAAAAGCCTACACATGAGTGATAAGCACTAATCATAGCTTTATGCTGAAAACTCAAGAGAAGAGAATATTAAGTAGATAGGTATGTAGGGAAAACCTCTCAAGCCTATCTGGAAATTTTACAGCTACAAATAACTACAAACATAACTCTTAATATAGCCTAATCTAATTCTTAGCATAGATGCAGAAGTTACTCTATTGAGAATCCAGTTACTTAAAAAGTGTAGTTCATATTAGTTCCACTGGAAAAAGAAAAAAAGGCAGCTAGCAGTTTTGTTTGGACAGATCCATGACTACACTATAGGTTTTATCAAGTCAGAAACACTGGTAGAATAAAATAATTGCTAGAGCAACTAAACATTCCAGTGAAGATGTGCTGCAAAAGAAGACATAAATTACCATACTCCCAGACTCTTCATTTTGAGAGAAAGGGCACTTCTTGATTTGACACCCAATATACTTACAATGAAGGCATTAACAGCAAAAACTAAGACCACGCTGATCTCTGCAACTAAAGCAGCACTAAAATTTTTTCCCTCTTAAAAGTACAATTCCCTCCTTTTTTACCACGTCTTCAAAAAATAGTAGAATGTTTTTGGAATTGTCCTCACATACAAAAATATAGAAATTAACTGGTTTGGCAGAGAATAGTTGGAATATTCCTTTCAAAGCTGCATTCTATTCTCCTCCCTCCCATTCCATCTTATGCATTTACAATAAAATAATCACAGAACTCCATCACGCAAATCATTAACTCGATCACACAAACATTAACAGTAACTTGCTCAGAGCCTCAGAAATACCGCATTTCCCATATGTGATATCACCTGCATTAAAAAAACAGCTGAATCGAGCCACCTCTATCTGGTGCTGCCTATCAGTACACTCACCTGACCAGAGAAATATTAAACAGAATGGAAGAGAAGGAATTAAAGAAATTACCCTGAAAAAAAATCTCTTAATTTTTACAAAAATGGTTGTCAACTTTGTTCTTAATTTTCCCCCCTCTGCATGTTTCTCTTATGGGCAGGGACTTAAACTGTATCTAGAAAAGGAACAGAAATGCAAGTACTTTGGAGAGAAAAACCTCAAAAGACAGGCAATAAGCAAGGGCAGAAGCACAAAGGGAAGCATACTCCTTGTTTAAAAGAGTCTGATGCTAAGAAACAGCTATACAGAGCTCCATCAAATAGCAAAATTAATGCCTTTAATAACCAAACATTGGTTTGTTTCATAGTCCTTGATGCAGCATCTCATGAGCTCTGCAGGATTATTCCATGCAATATTTCCATTCTTCAGTCAACAAATATGATTATGCGCAACACCCTAAGGAAAAAAATCACTGAGCATGAAGAGGACAGCACAGTGAAACAGGATGTCAACAATCACCACGGCTATGCCAGTCTGCACACAGAAGAGTGCTGCAGAGTGGAGCTTGGCAGCTTGGAACTGACAGAAACAACACATGACCTAAAAGTACAGCAGCACGCACACAAGGATAAGGAACACAGCACTGCCGGTTAAGTTACACCAACATCAAAGAAAGCTGGGGGTTATTTTTCTTTTCACGAGTGAAGGTCTACACTAAGTAAACTGTACAATCTACAGCGTGAATTAAGATTTACCATTACCACACCTGCGTACCGGCTACAACTCCATCTTATATTAGTGTACACAAAATGTCACAGCTTTACAGTGTCAGACTAACGTAAACAACTGCGTGTGAAACGGCGTCCTACTGTGACCCTCACGATCTTCCTCACGCGTTTGTTCCCACTACAAATGAACTCGATTGCAGAGTAACAGCTGCCTCCCCCAGGGTAACAGCCCCGGCTCTCCCCGTGGGAGACGGCCCGGCAAAGCTCCGCCAACGGCCCGTACCCGGAACCGGCAACGGAGCTCCGCGAGAGGCCGCGGGGCGGCCCCTTCACTCTCGGCCAAGGCCTCGCCTCCTCCCGTGGAAGGACCGAGCTCGGGCGGGGAGCGGGGCCCTCACGCAAGGCCCGCGGCGACCCAGGAGCGGGGGGCGGAAGGAGGACTGGGA